CCTTCAGTGTGATTGCAGTCTTTCAAGCCAGTTCCTTGATGTGGATAATTAATTCTGAAGTTGGAATGTATGTTAAATTATATGAATTCAAGACGGACCATCATTAAAAGTTTTTGAAAATTTGAATAATAGGGCTAAAACAATAGTTTGAACCGTGTGCTATTTTCAAATCCTCCTGTATTTTTCTTATGATCTTGGGCAAGTTGTTTCTAGTTTTTCATTGGCTTGTTTGTAAAGTAGTTTCTCATAAGATGGGAGCACTCTGAAGTACAATTGCAATAATTAAGACAGTTTAACTCCTTTGAAATGTTTTAATTATTCCAAGTCTTCTGAACTGCACCCTTCTAAAGTGAATTTGGTACTTTTTGTTCTTTCCCAAGCATTTGGAAAATGGAAACTGAAACTGTTACCCAGAAGAAGTAGTAATCATATTTTCATTTTCTGCATTGAATACTGCAATTGGATATAAGCCAGCTGCATACAATTTTGTGAGGAAAAAGGGCAGAATTTTCCTTTGCACTGTACAAATTAAAATGTTGATGTTAACCTTAAGGACTCGCAAAACAGGATATTTATTGGTAAGGGAGAAAAGCTTAAGCTCAAAGACCAGGTTATGGCCTTACACAGGTATGGATTTTTATAAGAGAAGGATGTTCTGAATTATTAGCTGGTAGGTTAATAATGGTGAGGAGCCTTGTGTTTGGATGCTGCCTACGGCTATCTAAAATACCAACTCAAGAAGTTTTGAGGACAGGCCTATTTTATCAGTTCCATTTTTGTAAACAGTTAATCCCTGTTAAACTAGCACGAATGGTAAAGCTCTGGAACTAGAAACAATGTTCATTTTAATTTTTGCCCAGAGTTTCAGATGAGGGAACTTGGAGCGTGGAGAAGCCTCGCGGAGATGTGACCAGATACCTGTTTTATCAGGCAAATTCTTCTGCATCAGTTTTGAAAAGCTTTAATAAAAATTGTTGAGTTGCAGCCACTTAAAGTTCCTGTTCCGTTGTTTTGCTATGTTTTTTGCTCAGATTCAGTTGCCGCCGTTAGCCTGGGGTGGCTGTTTAACAGAACCTGCTTGATTAAACCTTGGTTGATGCCACTTGCTCCCTGCCCTCAGACAAACCCCCCAGACAACAGGACCTTCAAGTTAGTTGGCCTGGTCCCAAGCCAGTATTTCTGTGGACCAGATGAAAATGATTATGGACAAAGACCTTGCTTCTGCTTGGCTATCCCTAGCATGGGTGCCTTTTGCCTCATACCAGAGCTGTGTAGTTTGTTATTGTCTGGCTTTGGTTTTTAAACTTAATCACACTTGCTCCACTCTCTAGTGAAAAATGTACTTGATATAGGATCTGTCAGAAAAGGATTTATGACAACTTCCCTGTTGTATAATTCTGTACAAGTTCTTGAAGTGTGTTCAAAGTTCACTAGAGTTCTTCTGTATATTCAACATGAAGTAGAAATACTTCCCCCTGCCTCAAGTGTTTCATAAGAGCATAGGTCTTTAGGGAGTTGAACAGTATACTTACTACCTATCACACACACCATTTGACATTATTTACTGAATTCTTATAAGTGGGGAAATACTTAATAAAGTACCTATTTTTTTTTCCTTTGTCCATTTAATACCATTTTATTGTGAGTAACCAGAGTTGTGTGTTTCATCAGATTGCGTTGGCTGACTTGGTATTGAAGTTTTAAATATATTTCTTTCTTTCTCGAATTATCTTGAGATTACTATTAAATGGGAAATGTTACTAGTTAAAACACCAGTTGGTGGATATCTTTTGGCAAGTGCTTTAAGCAGCTATTATGTTTGCATAATAAGAACAGTTAACTTTGGAAAAGTATTCATATAGGCTTGCATTTCTGCCAAAGCAAGTACATGATATTTATGTATTTAAAGGAGGCTATGTTTATAATTCTGAAGCTGTTGGTAAAAAAACATTTTGTGAGATCTAGAATATGGTATCTTTGGGGTTCTTTATCCTTCATACCCACTTATTTTAGGTAAGTAAGTATTTAATTATCCCCATTTTTGCTCAGTGTTCACAAAACCTCGTGTCCTAGAAGTATGTTGTTTGCAGCTCAGTAAGATTGCCTTCTTTTCCCATGTGCTATAATATCTTAAGTTGTTGGGTTGTTTATTTTTTTTAAACATCCTTCATCATTTCTCGTTTTTATCTTAAAATCCTATGTAGAGTGGCTGGCTGTTAAGTGGTGACAGACTCACAGTGGCAGCAGTGTGAAGGAATGCTGTTGAAGGCAGTGTGTGCCAAACGGCATGCCCGGTCTCTGCAGTGACCTTCAGTCTGTGAAGGTCTGAGGAACTGAAGGCAATGCTTGCATCTGTAGAACGAGTTCAAAGGCAGCCGTATCAGTAGGATGATGTGCCCGGTTAAGTAGATGTGCCGAAAGAAGGATGTACTGCAGTGCTGTAGTGACTACACTGTTTTGGGATTCAAGCTGATATGTCTGCATAGGATTGTTCTGTACTGTGTAATTTAAACATGACCATAGTTTAAAAGCTATGCCCAGTTTTAAATGTCCAGAGTTGGTTTTGGTTCTGTGGACAATGTAATTTTGTCTTCACAGTCTCAGTAAGTGATCTGAGTTACGGAGTTAATACTTTGCAGTTCACATAAATCTTCTGCATAGATAGCAGAACCGTGTATGAGAGGGGATGGGCATTTATTATTTAACTTTAAAATTTGGACTAATAAATGAAATCAAAAGCAATTTCTGTGAGATAAGGTATGAGCTTATTACCTGTAAAGTTACACATTTTGTGGTTCTGCATCTGCGTCTTGAGCCAAGTTCTTGTAAATGACTAATTCATGAAAATAAAGGGCTGTTCAGTGGGGAGCAAAGAAGGAATCTGAATTATTGTGTCAGTAGATCCTGGTGAATCCTTCTGCTTAGGAAGCAGACAATGTCCACTTCTGAAGTCATTCCTCAAAGTGTGCTTGGTGAACAGTTCTTAGGAGCTGTTAATGCAGTATTTGGCCTAATTTTAGTAATGGTAACTTCTTAAGCTTTCTTTTGCCCTCGAAGTTTTGCGTCTGTGTCCGTGTCCCGTGTCCCGTCCCCCCCCCCCCAAGTAAAGAGTCAGAAGTTATATATTTAAAATACTGTGATATGAGGCTATTTCATTTTCATTAGCATAGAGGAATAAAAGTTTGTTTTAGAAGAGGAGGATCCAGTCTTGGTATATTCGTTTGTCATGTGTGTTGGTTGTTAAGATTTGCATCTTAACTTTGCGTCTTATTATCTGAATGGGTGAATATTTTGGGGGTAGTTGCAAGGCATTTCTCCTTGGAAAATCTGTGCAGAAGGAGAATGTATTTCTCTCTTTGGCAGTTCCAAAATCATTCAGGTCACCTCAAAGTAACCCATTCCTTTAGTTTCAGCTGCAGAAGGATCTTCTGTTACTCCAAACCTATCTGGAGAAGGAGGCCCTTCAAGCCTGTAGCCTAACATGCTTGGTCTTGCTTCCTTAGAGATCAATGTTGCACCAAATTCCAAACACATTGAAACACCCTGCTTGAAATAAATCAGATGGTAGTTCCATTACAACTGAATTTCTCTGTTTCTTAATTTGGAGGGAATATATTTTCAAAGATTTCATGGAAGTGCTTGTCTGAGAAAGGAATAACAACTATTTCCGAGTTAAGGTGCAGCACCAGAACTCAGGTTTCCCAGTTGGAGCAGCTACTGAGTGACTCCTACTTCAAAGGTGGATTTACTTTTTGCAAAACTTGCAGCGCACTGAGTTTTCATGTGTAGTCACAATACATCTGGAATTTTTCTTGTCATATTTTTGCTTCAAAAAACGTAGTGCAAAATGGAAGCCAAGCACAATGTTCACTACATATATGCATTGTGGGTTTAGCTGCTACTGAAAATTACTGAGAAAAACGATCACCTGTAGTTACTAACACGTGTAGGCAGTTCTAATTTCTGGTCAATCTCATTCCCTCTCCACATTCTTCCACTCAGCTGCTTCTCACCCCATGAATTTCAGAGATGGGCATGGCAAAGAGGCTGGAGCTGGACAGGACACAGACCTCTAGTTAAAAGCAAGAGAGGCTGAAACTAATTCCAGTTAATTTTTCAGCATAGCAAAATGAAATGGTTTGGGACTGGACAAGAGGGAAACTGAAGTCTACCAGAAATGCCATAGGGATTTGGCACCCACATGCCATCAGCACTGTGGGCATCGGTGCTTATCAACATCTATTGATGACAGCCGAATCCTGCAAAACCTTACCACAGGCAGTAAGCTGGTTGTGTTGTATCGCAAGGGCTTTGAGATGCTACTTCATTTTCTTGTTCTGTTGGTTTTCCCTCTAAATCACTTTAAACTGTGATTATTTAAAAGGATAATACTGTGTTTTGGCATTGTACTTCAGAGCACGCAGTTTCATATGCTGTGTAGGGGTCTGCTGATAGCCAGCACTCGGAGAGTTCTGTGCTTGTGCTCTGGCAAACACAAACTTGCCTGGTGAAATTCATGTTCTTTCAATAAATATAATTAGTTTAAAACATAATAGTATTTCAGAAGTAAAAGTGGATTGACAGTGGCTGGTAAAATCAAGTAAGATCCTTGTGGTTCCTAGGTATTTCTAGGAGAGTTTTCCAGGTATGGGGTACGATACAGCTGTGCTGCTTTTTCAAGGCAGGAGGCAGTATCCTGGAATTTCAGGAAAAGTGTCTTCCAGAGTTCTATGTAGATGTATTTGCAGTTATCTATATGGTTTCAGAGAGAAATGGGTGTAGGCTAACAAAGTTTCTTTATGTGGGAGTTTGGAATTTTTGAAGTGTGTGCAAAAAGGAAACTTACTTTTAATATCTAAGTGTGATTTATGCATAAAAACAGATTGGCTTTTCAGCTTCGTGATCCATACCAAATTAAACTAAACTATTATACTTGTATTGATTGATGTAATACAAGTCAGAGCTAAAAATATTCCTCTTTTTTTTTTTTTTGTGTACAGAAAAGATGAAAAGGAGTATGCACTGAAGCAAATTGAAGGTACAGGGATTTCCATGTCGGCCTGTAGAGAGATTGCAGTAAGTGTACATGAATGAAAGTATTTTTACTGACACTATTATTCAACAGATAAGAGATGTTATTTTCTCTGACTTAAGTAACACAGTTTTTCTAAATGTTTTCCTTAACGTGTGCAAGCATGAAAGTTATTAAAATATAACATTTTCTTAAAATGCTTTCTAAATAATACTTTTTTTTTAGTGGAAAGAGATGTTCTTGCTAGGTAATGGTAATGCCTCTTTCTGGTATAGTTTTGTTTTATCTGCTTTTATGTGTTGAGAGGGAAATATACAAATATGAACCTTTTAATGAAGATTTAGGTTAAAACTGGATGTTTATAAAATGACTTGAAGGCAAAAGGTTCTGAAAGATTACAACTGTCAGTTGTCAGTTCACTTGTTAATAATGTATTTTGTTTCAGGTGAATGGTAGCTTACTTTTTATTTTAGCACCTGAGAACAATTTGTTCTCCTCATTCCTTATTTACTTTGCTAAGTACAGAGAAAATTCATAGCAAAATAAGCAGCTTTAATTGTATTTTTATTACATGTATGTTAGGAGGAAAAAATGGATTCAGAAACTGCACACTTTTAAGCACAGTAGTGCCCATACATACGTGTGTATATCATTCTTTCAAAGTTGGTAAGAATTAGGTGTTTGTATGTGAAGACAGATTTTGATCTTTAAATGTTTGGTTTATGACTGAAAGTGTACGTTACTGTCAAAGTGCTGGATAGTGAGTAAAATTTTGTAATGCAAGAATTTCTTGCATTGCAAAAGTAGTGCACTTGCTTGATTTAAATATTTACCTTGTTGGAATGCTGTCACTATGCTAAGGGCTGTTGAAATGTGTGATATGGTTTGTGCCTAAAGCTTTTTATAATCTAGTAGTGTTGCATTGAAATACAGCAGTCAGGTGTGCAATGCAAAGTGAGGCATTAGAAACTCACAATGTTTATGAATTGAACAAACCACTGTATTGTGTGTAGCGTAGTGCCCACGGTAATTCTGCATGAAGAGACTTAGCAGATAAAACTACTACCCTTTTAAAGTTCTTGTCACTGTAAGGTCAAGGTCACTTGTGGATTTGAGAGGTGGCTGCATTGCTGTCGGTCGCTTTACACAGAATCTACCCCGCGACCTTTTTACTCATATTTCTGCCTTTGGAGGAAATAAGAAGTCCTCTTTTAATGTCAGTACTAGATTATATTCTTGTTACTACAAAGTCTGTTTTGACAGCAGTGAGGGTTTTTTTTTGTTTGTTTGTTTCTTTGATTCTTGTCTGTCTTTTGTCTGTTTTAAATTGTACTAGTATGGAGAGGATGTGTGGAATAGTCCAAAGGAGACTTTCTTGTTGTCATGATAGCACTGTGGTATGGGGCTGATTCTGTCATACCTGGGAACAACATCATGAGGAAGTAGACAGTGTCAAAGTATTTTTTCCACTGATGATACATCACCATTTCAATCTTGGTGTGTAGTGTTTTTTGGTTTTGTTTTTTAAATTGATGAAGCTTTGTGCAAAGCTCAGGACAGCCTGGGAAATTTCACAACTACTGTGTAAGTTGCTTAAATCCTCTCAGTGGTTCTTCCTGTAATTCTTCCTTGAATGATGTTTTATTCTTCTCCAGACTTTACCATAAAACTCCATAACCTGAGATAATGTAGCAAATTACTGTTTGCCTCGGTGAAATTTCAGGTTAGTCAAATATTAGAAATGTGAAAAAGGTAAAGGTGAAATAGTTGAAAATCAAATATGAACTTTTTGTCATACAGAAACAAGCAGAATGAAGTGCATTTTCCACAAAGAGAATCAGACTTATAATTAATGGATTAATATTTGATCTTGTATTTAAAGGCTTAGACAGGTAACAAAGGAGGTAATGTTTACTGATTAAATAAAGATTATCAGCCTGGAAAAAGACCGCATTAAAATATCACGGGTAGTTCTTTTTGACATCTTAAAAAACCAAAAACCTCACACCCAAAAAACCCCGCAACCAAAACCACACAAACAAAAAAAACCCAAAATAATAAAAAAATAAGCCAAAAAAAAAATAAACCCCTTTTCCCCCCAAGCCCAAAACCCCAAACCCCACCTATATTCTGTGGAAGCTGAGAACATGGAAGAAGCACCAGTGTACTTGGCTCTCTCTCTCTGCGTGTGCGTTCAGATTATTTTAATAACTCTATAACCTGAAGACACTCAAGAATGTGCTCGAGAAATATATTGCTGAACTAAAAGGCATTCAGTTTTGCAGTTCAAGACCATTTTGTGTGTAGTATTGCATGGACACTCAGAGTAAGATTTACGGGCTAACTTTCCCTAAGAGAAAAGGCGGGCTACTCCTCTCTTCTGATGTTACAGATCAATGTGGTCTATCTTTGCTTAGGATTTTGAAAAATGTAAAGCCTCTTTTACCGCTATTAATATGAGCTTTTCATAGAAGAAGGCTTATGTCAGTGAAAACATCATATAGGCAGCGGTTCCTGGGGCAAGAGATGATTACTTTCTTTCAACTGTAGGGTGATACCTGCTGAAAGAATCACTATGTTAGCCAATTCTGTTGTATTGAATATGAAAATACTAGAGGGGATTCTTATATGATAAAGAATTGGGGGTGGGGGTGGGGTGTGGAAAGCTAATTTCTTCCTTCCCTGTAACTCGAGTCTCTTCTGAAGACAACTGAAATGCCAACTATGTCTGTATTCTTGTTACAAGGCAGATTATTGCTGGGCGTAAGCAACAGCATTTTTGAAGAGTAGAGCTGGAAAATATGCATGAGAGTTAATGAAATATAGAGTTCTCATTTTTACATGATTATTTAGTTAACAAATGTGACACCTCTCTCAGCTCAAGACTTGTGTCAGCTTATTTTTGAACCAATGATGGAGGAAATATTTTCATTATTGCTTGAACATCAGGATGGGATTTCTAATTGCTTTTGTAACGTTGGTAAAAAAAAATTCCTGAATTCCTAGAACTATTTATAGACAAAATGGCTCTAGGAATTTGTTAATTTAATTTCCATTGCAGAAGATGGAAGAGAAATAAAATACATTTTTAGACATTAAGGCCTTAAGAAAACTCTGATCCTTTCAATTCAGAGGCAGGACATCAGAGCATATTCATTGCAAGGTAGTTTAAAGATACATTGGAAGCCTGTGCAACAGAAGAGAATATGATTATGCTACTGGGTATTAGGGCAAGGATATAGATTTCTTGATGCAGGACGAACTTTCCTGTATCTTTTGATTTGGAAGAAGGAAAGAGTTGAAAGTAATCAAGTGTGGAGATATACAGGGGTAATAAACTGGATTCATACATAATCTGATGCATGTTTTGGGAAAAGTTTTTCTTCATTATGCTGAAAAGGTAACTTAAGTACTTTTTGGGGGGAAAGGAAGACTTTTTTTCAATTCTGCTGCCTTTGTGTTTTACTTTTTGCTCCTTACCTTATCTAAGTAGCTTTCTTAGAACAACAAATGGAGACAGAAGAAACAGACCAGAGGGGTATTATTTGTTAGGGGTATTTTTCTCTGTGAAGTACCTTAGCCATCATCTGTTATGAGCCAATAGGTATAACTTTACAAGTCTGCAAACAGCTAATGGTAATGGAATTTTGTATTTGTTTATCAAACAAGTACCGGGGTAATACAGCTTTATCTGAGATTTCTTGTCCCAAAGGCTTTACTTTCTGTGAGAGGATTATGCTGGTTACTTCAAGTATTTTGCTTTCCACAGCAAAGAGACTATAAACTTCTAATTGTGGATTTTGTGAAAAACTAATTCAGAGAAAAGAAGAATATAAGCCTTTTCTTAATCAGTGCCCTTCAGTGGCTACTTTCAAAATACCTGGATATGTAGCCTGTCACTGAGCATGGAAGAACTTCAGTGCAGTTGTTTGTGATAGACAAGGTTTGCTAACGGTGTAAGAAAAGTACAGTCTCATTGTGAGTGTTAATAAAAGGAGGGTAGGAGAAAGCAATAAATTGTCTTTGGTTGAATATCATTTTTTTTATTCAGAGAAAGAGATTAATTTCATGAGTGATTCGGACAGTAGATATTAGGCTTATGCTGCTGGACCCCAAACTGTTTGCAGCCATCTACATTGGAAGTTATTTTAGTGGCTAAGTCAATTCCAAATTTTGTGGTTATCTGTTGCTTTTCACATGAGGCACTGCAGAAACCAAAGGGGAATGGTAGTAGAGGTTAATCTGGAAATGCTCAGAAAAACTGCAGTCTTGAACAACTTGGGGAGTTGCAATATGATTATTGTTATTGGCTTATTTATCTGAAACGGTGGATTTTAGGATCCTAAGTGGAGGGAGCACATCAAAAAGCAAGATCACAACCCTGGACTTTAGGAGAACAGACTTCAACCTCTTCAGATGTCTGCTTGGAGGAATCCTATGAGATACAGCCCTGGAGAGAAGAAGGATCCAGGAGAGCTCATTGATATCCAAGGATCGCCTTGTCCAAGCTTAACAAAGTTCCATCCCAACGAGTAGGGAAGCAAGCAGGGGCAGCAGGAGTCCTGCATGGATGAACAAGGAGCTTCATGTTGAAATCGGACATAAAAAGGAAGCATATATGAGGTAGACGCAGGGATTGGTAACACAGGAAAAATATAGAGTTGCTGTTCGGTGTTACAACAATAACGGTTAGGAAAGCCAAGGCCGACCTGGAATTGAGTCTATCAAGGGACCTGAAGGGCAACAAGAAAGGATTCTACAAGTACATAAACAGCAAAAGGACAGCTAAGGAAAACATAAGCCTGCTGCTGAATGGGAACAAATGATGTGGAAAAGGCCGAGGTACTCTCACTTTTTTGCCTCAGTCTTCACTGGTAGGACCAGCCTTCAGGAATCTCATGCTCCTGAGACCAGGGGAACAGTTGAGCAAGGAAGGCTTACCTTTGGTGGAGGAGGACCAGGTTAGGGAGCACTTAAACAAACTGGACATACATAAGTCTTTGGTGCCTGATGGGTTGCACCCACAAATGCTGAGGGAGCTGCC